CTGAAGAACTAGTACAATATTATCATTGGTAATAAATGCTCTTAATTATCTGTTTTAAAAGTATAACACATGTGAGGCATGTGAGGCACTCAAAGTAATTCTGGAGTCCCTCAGTCTTTTTGCTTACCAGGAACATATAGTCAGATGAGCACGAGCATTCTCTATACACTTTGTGTCTCAGGACACCCTTTCTTCTAAGTAAGCCCAGGATTATGCTTCTTCACATTAATGCAATTGATTTCTCATCGTTGATCTCTGGGATGATATTTTCATGCCTGTCATGCAGATGATTAACTGGGACTTAGGCAGGTTAAGTGATTCACACAGCTTAGGAATTGCAGCGCTTGGGCTTGGATTTAGATCTTTCATAGTCAAGTTCATTCTCTTTCTCCTCAATTCTGTGTTGAATATCTAGCATTGACTCCTTCATTGCTGTGAGTTATACCTGTGGATTTATTTGTGCCATATATTACTTGGACCAGTCAAGATGCTGAATGAATCCATTTTGATGGTGCATGAATGGCAGAGGGCATACCTACTATTAAATTACTCATAAGTATGTCTGTTTATATATTGACAAATATTGATAGAAAAAATTTTTTAAATCGGAGCATGTTTTGAAAAATACTAGAACAGCTTCCTATTTAATTCAGTGAACATTTATTGAATGCCTACTATGTCCTAGAAATATTAAAATGACTATTTATTATAGATGTGTTTCATAAAAAGCTCTTTACTAAAAAAGACAAATAGTGACTCTATAGCATCTTACTATGCTGATGGACAGTGACTGCAATGCGGTATGTTAGGGGGGGACTTGATAATATGGGTGAATGTAGTAACCATAACGTTGCTCATGTGAAACCTTCGTAAGATTGTATATGATACCTTAATTAAAAAAAAACAAAAAAACCTCTTCACTAAAAACAAGATGCATCAATGGCCAATAAGCACCCAAAAAGGCATTCAACATCATTAGTTGTCAGAAAAATGTATATTAAAACCATAATGAGCTACTCTTCACAGTTGCTGAAACTGTTAGAATTGAATACTGGAATTATTGTTGAGATTATGCATCAGTATGAACTCTCATACAGCCAACGGGTTTGGATGTATCCCTACAGGTACAGGTGGCCTGCTGTATCTTGATTTGTGTTTGGAAAACCATTTGGCAGTTTCTTTTGAAGTTAAACACACACCTGCCCTTTAAGGCAGGAATCCCAGTCCTAAGTTTTTATCTAAGAGAAATAAAAACATGTTCATAAGAATATTTATACAAGAATTTTTAAAAAATTCTCATCACAAGGAAAAAAAATATTTGTAACTATGTGTGGTAATGGATATTTACTAAACTTCTGTGTAATCATGTTGCAATATAGGCATATATTATGATGTTGCAAACCTAATATTAATATAATTATTATATGTCAATTAGATCTTAAGTTTTATTAATAAAAAATAAATAAAAGAGTGTTTTAAAAGCTTTATTTATGATAAACCAAACCAGGAAATGGATTCAAGTGTCCATTAATGGGAGATACATGCACAGTGGAATACTGTATGAATATAAATAGTCACACAGTGGAATCTTACACAATAAAAAATGAAATACTAAAAATATCCAGTAACATTATTGAACGTCACAAAACTAAAGAACTAACAAAACCAAATATGAAAGACTACATAGTGTATGATTCCAGTACATGAAAGCCACAACAGTCAAAACTAATATGCAAGGATAGAAAACAGAACAGTGACTGCCTGTTGTAGGGTGGCAGTGACAAGACTGTAAAGGGGCATGAGGAAACCTTCTGGGGGAATGGAAATGGCCTATACAGTAGTTCCCCGTTATCCATAATTTTGCTTTCCACAGTTTCAGTTATCCATGATCAACCACGAACTGGAAGCATATGATCCTCTTTTTGATGTATTATCAGTATGTCCATAGTTGCCTAATGCTACGTACAAAGCCTATGTCATTCATGTCACTCCATCTCATGCAGTCATTTTAAAATGTCATGACATGACAAGAAGGGTGAGTACAGTACAGTAAGCTATATTGAGAGAGAGAGATAACATTCACATAACTTTCATTATAGTCTGTTATAACTGTTCTATTTTATTATTAGTTATTATGGTTAATCTCTTACTGTGCCTAATTTATAAATTAAACTATCATAGGTATATATGTATAGGAAAAAGCATAAAGCATAGTATATGCAGGGTTTGTTACTATCTGAAATTTCAGTCATCCACTGGGAGTCTTGGATGTATCCCTACAGATACAGGTGGCCTGCTGTATCTTGATTTGTGTGTTGGCTACTTGGTTATATAAATTTGCCAAACCTCATCAAATTGGTCCCTTAAAAACAGTGTGTTTTTCTCTGTGTAATTACATCTCAGTGTTTAAAAATTAATATAAAAATTTCATAAATTTGTATAAAAATTTAAAAATTTATATAAAATGTAATAATCTTGCAGTGATCCCTTTGTAAAGAAAACAACTTGTTTGTAAGCAGCTTCCACATTTTTTTTTGGTACGTCAATAATTAATTTTGAAATTTAATGTTTGGTTAAAGTAAGGGGTACCAACCAGATAAGTCTGGTTGAGTACTAACAGGCATGGATTTTCAATCTATCCCTTTATATAATTACAGTTTGGCTTCAGAATAGATTTTACTTATTCATTTATACATTTATTCATACATTGATTTGACAAATAAGAAATAATCTATCCCCACCTGGAGATTGCCATTTTCTAGCAAATTGATAATAGCATGTGCTAAACACCAGTATAGGCTATAAGCTATGATTTTTAACAATTGCTTCAAGATATTAAACTGTTATTTGCCAACTCTTTCCAGGCATGGTAAGTGTGAAAAGAACCCTAGGTCTTTGTGTTTAAGTGCTGCTGTGTAAATGGATTGTTTCTGACAAGCTCTCAGCTCCCAAGCACTGTGGAACATACTATCAGTCTCCCAGAGGGGCCAAATAGGCCTCTCAGTGCGGGCCCCCAGGGTGCCCTGGCAGGTGACTGCAAAGGGCCTTACCCACACTGTTCATGGAGAGGGTGGTAATGGTTTCCAGGAACGTTCACTCTCTGGCCCCTCCACGCAGCCGGTCTCGCCAGTCAAGCTGGTGTTTTGGAGCTCTGCTCATCTTTAATGATCTGCAGCCTCCCGCACCAGGCAAGCATCTGAATCTTGGCTCCTTTCCAGCTGCTCTATTGATCTGAAATTTGGCCAGTAAACAAAATCCTTTGTTTGTTTTTAGGATTATTTTTATTATCTGGCTCCAGACAGAGAGCACAGAATGGGGTGGAGACTTCACAGAAATGAAGCCCTCACTCCTTTGGTAGGGCTCCTGACAGGCCTAAGACCAAGCCTCTGGTGCTATAAAAGAACACTGTTAAAAAGTTGTAAAGAGAATTCACATTTGCATTGTATTGATGGCAGCAACAGCTTGTCAGGCCCCCATCTGTCAGAGCAGAAGGTATACCACAGTTCAGAAAGTTGGGGCTCTGAGGCACCTCTTTCCAGAGTGACCTACTGCAAAACAGCAGACATAAGTATATGGAAGACTAGTTTTACATAGAGGTGGAGAAGTTTTTCCCTATATGTTATCATTTTAAGGCTGGGGATTAACCCAGATGTTGATTTATTCAAGCTTGCTAGAGTTTTAAATTCCTCTAAACCCATGTTTGGAAACATGCCCCAGGCACCATAGTAACTCTAAATGAGAAAGCAGTCCTTCAATAAAGTTCAGTGTTCTATTATTTTGAGGGAAAACCTACATATAATATTCATTTCTTGAATATTTAAAAGCTGTGAAAAATCCTCTGGGAAGACACCTGTTTTCCTTTCTTTAAACTGGCATTTCCCAAATTTCTTGACCATGAGGCCCCACTTAATAGAGGCTTTACAAGATATTTCTAAAATTGGAATATGAGAATTTGCCTTGGAAAATCTTTCAGAAGAGGCAGTGAATGTGATATACATCGAAGGGGACAGATTTTGATGGAACAGAATGAATATATGTGTGGGTGTATTTGTTTGTGTGTGTGTTTATGTGCATGTGCATGTGTTAGGGTTTGCTGTCTAAAAAACCCATTATCCTCTTCTTTAGTTATAGAGTCACAGATCAGATGCAGCTGCCCAGCTAAGGATGATACTGTCTAGCTTCTCTTAAAGCATGATATGGCCATATGATTAATATTTGCCAGCAGAATTGAGGTAACTAGCTTTGGCTGAGGCTTCTACCACAGAATACAGATGACAGTCCAACTTCTAGGGCAACAATATAGAAGTTTGATGCCTAAGTCAATGTTTAGATAACAGTCATTTGATAAACAGAAATAAAAACCTGTACTATTATGTGAATGAGAAATGCAATTCTATTATTGTGAGAAATATTTCAGGACCTATTAGTTACAGTACTTTAGCCTAATCTCATTAATATTATATTGGGAGAGGGGATGGTGAGCAATACCATTTGCGAAGATATTTGGAAAAGGATGAAGAGGATCTTTTACAAGCATCTCATACCTGAGGAGTGAAGCAGTAACTACCTCCAGAGAGGAGAGCCAAGGTCTGGTGACCCTAATTTAACTTGCTTTTTTTTCCACTCTAAGTGACCAAGAGCACCAACATTAGAGAAAAACAAACCCACTTTCAATATTTGACTCTGTCACTTACTAGTATGTGTCTTTCCCTTTTGCCAAGTCTCACTTTCCACATAATAAAAAAATGGATAATGGTTTCCAATTTACACAATTATTTTGAGAACTAAATGCAATGACCTAGGCAGTGTTCAGCACAATACACACATGTATGTTTAGAAACAGACATATAAAGTGATAGTCATAAATATTTTATATGCTCTCCTTTTGGGCACATATTATGATTTCATTTCCCTACCTCCTTTGAAATTAGATGCTGTCACATGACTTTCTAGGCCAAAGTTTTAAAAGCCAGTACACAATATTTATGTCCCCCCTTTCCTACCTTAGCAATTGTGAAACATGGGGATGGATTCCCTTTTGCCTGCTACTTCAAAGAGGGCAACTGGAGCAGAGTCCTGGCTGATCTGTGAGGACACATAGGGTGAGTCAAAAATAAACCATTGTAGTTTTAAGCCATTATGGCCTAACATGGCCTTTACTGAATGATTCGGAAATCGGTTACCAGCCTTAGAATTTTGCCACAACATAGGCATAAATGCACTCAAATACACAGCATTTGCTCACTGTTCTGTTGACTGTCAGTAAAGCATCTATTATTGCAGACTGGAAAGAAGGTGATCTATGTTATGAAGTCACAAAATATTTGTTGAACTTGTTGCCTGCAATAAGTCATGAAATATTTGTTAAACCTGTTGCTTGCAATAATTTGGAAGGCTAACAAGTACCTAGTGAACTTGGAGTTCTAGGAGAAGAAACTGGAAAAGAGAATGTCAGCATGTGTTAGTCATGGTTGCGTTTGACAAGGCATTACCGAAACAAGCTAAGTGCAACAAGCATTGTCTGGCTTACAGGTAGGGATGAAGGGTGTTTGAGAGTGCAGAATTCACCATATTCAAAAGGTTTGAAAGGTAACAGGTGACACTGAGGATGCTTTGGGGCAATGAAGGCCTATTAAAACTAAGCCTTGTGAGGAGGACCAATTCAAAGATATGTTTCTCACTCCCATTGTTAAAATCCATTAATTCAGTTAATCTCAGAGAAAAGACCAATTATAATATTGGCAATCAGTTAATTCCTTTAGCTGAAAGAACACTGACTAGAGGAAAGATACTAAAATTTACAGTGTGTTTAAAGAGAGTGAAACATGATGGGTAGACATGGAGAAAACAAAAAATATACAGTAACAATGAAAATTATGTTATAAAAGTCATGGATGTGATGATTTTGCATGTACATTTGACTGTAATAAGTAGGTAAGGAGCAAAGTTTTTGCGAAATTCATACTATCAAAAAGACAGCCTATATTAAAAGAGAATTTGACAAATGATGTCCTCTGACTTTTCAACCATTAAGGCATAATCTTTATTTCAGAGGTGACCAGGAGAGATAATGGAGAAGGCAAAACACAGGAGACAGAGTCAGAGACCACAGAGAGCAATGAGCCACCCCCAGGCATCCTGGCCTGCAAGCTTGATGTCTTGACCGGATGGGAGATATATATTGAATTGAGAATTTGTACTCAGTTTTAATCACAAGTATTGCAGTAGTCATTAAGACTGTTCACAATTTTTGTTTCACCTCTGTTTAGTTAAAATAATTGGTAAGTTAAAATATTTCCCATCTCTTTGACCTGCAGGTATCCATGTTATTTACTTTGGCAAATAAAATGAGTGTGGACATGACTGACTCACAGCAACGATTCCAAGTGGGAAATTATAGAACTGGTTGATAACTTGAGGTATTTCTTTTTCCTACTTGGCAATAATGGTAACACAGAAAGGGAACCTCCCTCAGCTTAGTCCTTTTATGAGGATGACAGAAGCCTGCCACGCATGAAGACTGAGAAATAAACCATTGTAGTTTTAAGCCAGTGAGATTTTGGAGTTGTTACTGTGGCACAGTTCAGCCAATTTTGATGAGGAAAAATTCCAGCCAGTTTTATAGGGATAGTTAGTGTTATATTAGTTTTGGTCAGAAAAAGATGCAATGTTAGGAGCAGTGTCTTTCTAACCATGGATTGTGGCTTTTTAGTGGATGTAGGGCACACATTTTTTTACAACAGGATAGGAAGTATCATATAGTAAAATTAAGCATGCTGTGTGTGTGTGTGTGTGTGTGTGTGTGTGTGTGTGTGTGTGTAAAAGATAATGGAAGAGAGAGCAGTGTAAAGCGTATTAGTGGGAATCAGTGCCAAAAAGTTTGAAAGTCACTGACCTGGAACACAGCGAATTGGAATGCTTGGTTGATTAAATTTAGATATGAAAGGCCATCCCCAAAGGGCCTGCGGTCTGGTGATGTCAAAGGGATCCGTTCTCAAATTTTTCCTGTTCAAGCATTTGTTCATAGAGTTCAATGAAGAGCTTACCAATTTTTTATTGAGTTCAGATGAAATTGATAAAGCAATGTTGGTGATGTATGAAAAGCTATGGCAAATAATACCTATGGGGAAGATTAGCATATATTGTCTTGATTTTCACAAACAGGATAAAGTTAGTGACACTGAGGAGCCAGTAGACTTGATGTTGTGACAGAAAATATTACAAAATGATAAAGTGGTATATCTATGAAGATTTAAAAAGTGACAGCATGAAAATTTGTGATTAAGTTATGCCAGATGAACAGATTATTTTTAATAGTATTCTTAGATATTGGTTCAGAATTATGTTAAAGACTATGTCAAGATTTCAGAAACTCATTTAACAGAATTTCTAATACCTGAAAAAAATGAAGAAATGTGAGCTGGGTTATTGTAATATCTGTATATTCATGATTTCTATGATGACCTTTTGCTAAGAGTATTGGTAATAATTCCATTAATCTGTAGGGAGACATCTAAGGACATGTTGGAGCCTTCTGCCCTGAAATCTTTCCTATTCAAGTATATGTTGATTGTCTTCAGTGAAGAACTTATCTCATTTTGGGATGACATAAAACTGAGATGGATATTGTATAAAGTAGGTTAGAAGTTCCAAGTTAAGAATTCCTCAAAAGGACAGACGTATGAGCAAAACCTAAAAAATTCTTTAGGGACAATTATAAACTTAAATGCATAGGATTTAAAGGCACAAACAAACTCAGGACAGACAAAACTAGAGCTATAAACATGTATTTCAAAGACAGCAATAAACCAAAAGAGAAAATCCTTACATAACACTTACTTTGTGAAAAATACTTTTGCAGCTGTTTTACTTGTACTTATCACAACCACCCTATGATGTAGTTATCATTTTTATCCCCAATTACTAATGGAAAAACTGAGGCATAGAAATTTTAAATAACTGCCCAGTGTCACAGAGCTGATAAACCACAGAGCCTGTATGAGAAGATAAATAGTCTGGCTCCAGAATTTAGTTTATCCATCTACTGGATTCAACAATGTGGTAAAGCTGCTAGATTATGTAATGTACTTTGAGGTTGAAGCAATAAATGAAGGTACATATCCAAACCAAGGTATAGGCTATACAATGATTAGTCATTGCTTGAAATACTGTTCTCAGTTATGGCTTACACTCTATAAGAGGGACAATGACAAACAAGGGTACGTTTATAGAATGATTGAGATTGTATAGAGTGTGTAATTCATAGAAATGATAAATCATCAAAATAACAAAAGTTGATATACTGATGATATTGCGTCCAAAAATGAGAAAACATGAGGAATCCCGATGGCTGTCTTAAAATATTTGAATCTATGTCACATAGAAAAGAGATTCATCTCATTATGCATGAGTTAAGAGAGCAGAACCTTGATAGGGTTAATGAATGGTAGATTTTGGCTCAATATAAGTAATAATTTATTTATAAGTATGGTTATTTGTATAATAATAAATGAAGGGTATCCCTTATTGGGTATATGAGTGTTTATTAAAGGATGTATAATATATCAAGGTTATTGTAAGTTTTTTACATACAGTTGAGTTCACACTACATTTATATATCTGAGAGTCCATGATGATATAAATTTCAAAAAAAAAGAAAGAGGCAAAGTGGTATTATTTTCCTTTAACCAGAGACCACCGGGAACACACCTCTGTTTCCCTTCTGTAGGGTCTACTGACTTGTTGCATTATTAATTTATGGGGCATCTCAGTAAAAGGGTGTTAGAAATGACTTGTTTTGGATTCATCTACGGTTAGGTCATTTGGGGTAGGTTTAAAAGAAGTGGAGCTTTATTTTGCACTGGATGCCAAGAGAAAACAGAGGTAATTCTATGATTTTTTCTCATTTAGAAGGTGAGACGAATGGAGTGAAGCCAAAGTTCTGATTGGTAATGAAGTAGTGCACATTCATATTAGAAAGGATAGGAGGATATCTGGTCTATTTTTGTGGTGGAGACAGTATTTTTTTGCTTCTGTAGACACATGCTTGTGCAGTTTTCTTGTGTCTGTCTTGATTTACCACAATCATGGAAAGATCTGATTCTGTTATTCTGTAAAACTGTTTATGTTCAGCAGGAGAACAGAAGCTCAGCTGTGAGTGCAAGGACATTTCTTCCCCAGCTGCCACGCCGCCTGGCAGCAGGTCCTTCATGGCTTCAGTTCTCACATGATGGGTCTGCCTTGGTTCCAGCTTCACTGGGTATAACTTGGTCTCCAATAAGATTTTCAAGACCAGGGCTCTGCTTTATTTACCTGTGTATCCCAAAAACAGAGCTCTGTGTCTTAAAGTAGGCATTATTATTAATATATTATATTATATATAATAATATTATCTACTTTATAGTATATATGTTACAGCATATATTATGCATTATACATTTTATTATGTATTATTATATTGCATTATTATGTTAATATGTAGAAGTGATCTGAAGTCGGTATGTGTGTTTTATCAGCTTCCTTGACTAAGTAGAGCACTCCATAGAACTAATACAAAATTGAAAGGCTGAAGTATCTTACTGGTCAAATGATCTCCAAACACTTGAGGCATTAAGTAAGCCTGTATCTATAAGATTCCTGATGTCAAAGTCAGTTTACTTCACTGATACTCCTGCAAAACTTGAATGAAGGAAGCACAGAGGGCACTGGGCAAATGGCCCAATCAGACTGGTAGCAGCCCAGCTGGCATTTGAAAACCCAGGCTTTTCACTATGCCCACATCCTTTAGCAAAGAATCCTCATAGATGGATTTTCCATGTGGATTGGTGGCTCTCTGACTTTCTATATGTATCCGTGTCCCCACACAGGGTGAGAGCTATGAATGGGGTTTCTCATGTTATGCTCAAAATTTATTGCCCATGCGTGGAAGCCCTTTGATGATTGTCTAGATACCGTTCACTTACATGGACCATCTAGAAAAATGCACAGAAAGGACAGGAATTTTCAATACCCCTTTAGAGGTTAGAAGTCAGAAACATTAATAATGATATTTGTAAATCCTTATGGATGGATTAGGAATTTGCACT